AAGGGCCCGCCCCATGCCAAGGGTGGGGAGCTGACCCCGCCTTCCGCGGTGCCTGCTGCCCAAGCCCCGCCCTCAGCCTTAGACCCCACCTCCGGCTTCGAAGCCTTGGCCACTTAGCCTGTGGCCTTACTGGAGGCCCCGGCCCCATGCCAGGCTCCATCCCTGCCCCTCGGCTCCACCTCTGGCCACAGGCTCCACCCCCGGACTCAGGCTCCTCCCCCAGACTCAGGTTCTACTTCTGGCCCTTGGCTCCACCCCCAATATAAGCCCCGCCCCTGGCTCGGGCTTTCCTTGCAGGCCCCAAGAGTCAGGCACATTCCTAGTTTTGGCTCAGCCTCTTGACCTCCAGGGGCTCTGGCGGTGCAGTGGTTGCAGGCTGAGCTGCTTCAAAGTCAGCAGTTCAAAACCACCAGCCACACAGCAGCAGAAAAATGGAAGTTCTAACCCTGTAAAGAGTTACTCACAAGGGCAGTTCTACCCTGCCCTGTCGGGTCGCTATGAGTTGACATCAAGTTTTTTCTTGGCCTCAAGGTGATGTGGCCACCTGCTCCACCTACCCCAGACCTAAACCCAGCCTTGCCTCAGCCCCTCCCCACAAGCTCAAGGGTGCCAGTCAGGATGCTTCCTCTCTCCAAACCCTTAGCTTTAGACCCAGTCTCTGGCTTCAGGGCCCTGTCTTTGGATTCTAGCTTCCCCACCCTCCTCATGCCCACCTCCAGTTTGGCTTGGTAGACTTCTTCCCACCCCAACTGAGCTCTGCCCCCAAGCATATGTCCACCCGCCTCAATCAGGCTTCACCCGCCACAACCATCTAGTTTAACCTCAGGGCTCTGTGGCCACCCTCTGTCACCCTTAATTTCAAGCCCTTTAGTGGCCGTGGAAATCCCACCTGTCCACTCTTCCCAGCTCTGCCACCTGGGCTCAGGATGGAAGGTCACCCTTCATTGTCCACCTCAGGCTCCAATTCTCAAGATACTGTGGCCAGGCCTGGCTTCACCCAAACCCTGTCCAATGCGCTGGGCCAGCCCCCCACCCCCGCCAGCCTGGCTTGGCTGGCCCTCTGTACCCGTCTTGAGCACCAGCAGGTGCAGCGCATCGTCCTGCAGGTAGGAGGCGGCAGCGATCTCATGAGTGGGGATGCGCAAGATGAGCTCCTCATTGTCTCTCCAGGTGAGCAGCAGGCAGCGGGCCGACAGGCTCAGAATGCTGTCCTGCTCCGCCGTGGTCTTCAGTGGCAGCTCCTTCAGCTGCTGTGGGGTGGACAGGCCCGTAAGGTCCACGGTGGGAGAGGGAGAAGAGGAAGGGGTCTGCCCTCCCAGAGCCTCACCCTGGCCGTGTCCAGCAGCTGCAGGAGCTCGTCTCGGCTGGAGGGGTTCAGGGAGGAAGTCACCCAGGTCAGGTGGCCCAGAAACTGCATGGGAAGGGGGGTAGGGAGGAGAGAGAGAGAGCGGTCACCTTGAGGCTTTGGCAGACCCTGGCTTCCACAAGGGCACAGCATGGATAGGCTGAGATGTCTGAGTAAATATTAATTGATGATGATAGCTTTCATTGAACACTTGGGAGCAGCCACACACAGTTCTGAGTATTTTGCATCAGTTATCCGTCCTTGCTTTAAAGAATGAGGAAGCCAGGCACAGAGAGGTTAAGCAACTGCCCAAGATGATTACACAGTGAGGAAGGACCACCCTGGACTCCCTTACTCTTGATTATTATTATGCCTCAGCACCAATGATCATTGAGTGGATTCCAGCTCAGGGTGACCCCATGTGTGTCCATGTAGAACTGTGTTCTATCAAGGTTTCAATTTATATATAGATAGATAACATAAGAAATAAACAATCTATAAAGCAGTGCAAATGGCTCAGTGCAACTCACTTCTGTGAGACAGCTAGTACACTGGCAGTCCTTCAAGTCTTGAGGGCTGCCGGGTAGTCCTCTGTAGAGCAATTCAGGCT